ATGTATCTATCTATCTATCTATATACACAAACACACACACACAAACAAATACATTTTTTAATACTATATTTTTTTTTAATTTGTAATATTTATATATTTATAACAGTTGATTGAGTTACTCTCTCCGATAAACAATATTAATGTTATTAATGGTAATTAAAATTCGCATACTTTTTTCTTCAAATATCCTTTTTTGAATTAATTTTAACTAAATATCCTTTTTTTTTAATTTAAATACGCATATACAGTACAGTATTGGTTAAATAGAGATATGTATATAGGTAATTGTATTATCCCCCTTTTTTTCTCCTAGAGTTTTAGCGCTGTTTTAAAAAATATATATACACGTACAACCTTGTTGGGCTAATGTAATTGATATGATGTACTATAATGTATGGGATGGATACCATGTACCATAACGATCAGGACCATGTTGGTCGGATGTATTCTCTTGTTGCAACAAGTGATCATGGGGCATTAACTATTTTTTTAATGATTGCCGACTTTATGGTTTCCATGTGTCTTCTGTGGGATTTGATTATGGGATTCGCATGAGATATGTTGTCTGATGTCATGCGGTTTTACTTGGCTTGCTCTTCTTTGACATGTAGCTTTCTTGGGTTTGTCTGCTCGGTCCATGATGGGGGTATGGGACGCTGGCACTGATTGGTTGGCTGTCAGCTGTGCCCCGCCTCTATCACATGGTCATGGGAGCGATGACGTTTGGCTTGAGCCCGCCTGTGTTGTACTGAGAGATGGAGCTAGCCTTTATTCCACATCCTCCTTCGATCGGCAGGTTCATTATGCCATCGGCTGCCTTTGCTACATGTATGGAATGACCAGGTGGAGCTCACAACATTGCGTGCAACTATCTTTGTGGGTTGATGATGTGCCCACATATACCGCCGTTTTGGCAGGCCATTTTAATGTTTGCAATGTATGGTGCTGTATATCGAACAGTGGATGAGTGATCAGTACACTATCCAGTTAACTATTTAGCTAACTATCCCTGCACTGTATTAAACCAGCACTTTCTACTGCTACCATACTCTGTGCATTTCCCACTAATAAAGAGATGGTGATCAGCTGCATACGATTAAGTGGGTTTGGTTTGGGGTCACATGGTGCTCACCCAGTCTATATATTTGTATTTCATTTTACATTTGCTAGCTCTGAGGAAGGGGGTATATTACCCGAAACGCGTCAGCTAGCAAGGCAGCTTTGTGTGGGGTCTGCCTTATACCATTCATTCAGTGATTACCATGTCAGTAGTATTTTATGTCAGCTTGTATGTTAATAAACTGTATTAAATGAGGACAAAGCACTGTCTGTTTGTTTGTTTTGCAGGTTTTTACTTTATCCATCTTTGAGAGGTAGTAAAGCCAGGATGGCAGCCCAAGGCGATAGCAGCTCCTATATTTAAATATTTAAACATTTCCTTAAACAACATAATTTCCTAACATGTATAGAATATCTCTGAATAGCAGGTTTTAAAAGAGGTTCTTTTAACATTGATTATTTAACTGTCTCCAGTGGCAGGATTTGTGCTTTTATGGCCACAGATTTCTAAAACACAAGCAATATTTTAATGACAAATGTTTAAAAAAGCAGCTGATTATCATAATAATTTTACTTTTATTGATACTTTTATTTCCAATTCATTGGACTCCGAAAGGAATCATTTGCCAATGTCTATAGTTCAGCAACAGTTGGAAACTCAAAGTTTTTTTTTATTTTTACTAGAGATAGTGGAGATAATTTTATGTCCCAGAATGAAATATTTATGCAGTTAGGAATGTAAGTATCAAAGGGAGCACACTGACAATTTATGTTTAATACAAATATATGAACAATATGGGACTTTAAACATTTTCAGCTTCAAGTTGATTAGAACTGCCACTCTGCAGTGCAGGGGATAATCTATTGGAACACAGAATATGAAAACTGCCTTACAACTGTCTATGACCACTGTCCTATAAATCATAATCAATGATAGCCTGAATAATTCAGCTTGCTGAATGTCATGTTATTTGATATTATTGTTGCTCTCTGCCGTCATGAACCCACTCCAAAGATAGAAGGCTAACTGCTCCCACATTTTTGTAATCACACTAATCAAAAAATATAGAGAATACATTGTAAACATGAAAATGCAGAACTTGGTTTTATTTTGTTTTGTGACTGAAAACTAAACTAAATTACCCACATAATCTTACATTTAGATAATGAATGAAAGGGCTGCATACACTGTGAAAGGATTAAATAAAAGTTATGGCTTGCCAAAAATAGGTTTGCTTCCTGCAAAATTAAATTACATGAACCAATCACTTCCATTTGGCATTTGGTTTCTTGAAAATTAAAAAGACTGTTTATACAAGTGAGTTTTATTGATCAAGTAATTAAGCTGATAGAAAGCTTTTTATGAGGGGGTTTTCCCATCTGAATTTATTGACAAGTCAAATGACTTAGTTGTATATAGTAAGCAATAATTTACATATACACTATATTGCCAAAAGTATTGGGATGCCTGCCTTCACATGCACATGAACTTTAATGGTGTCTTAGTCCGTAGGGTTCTATATAGAGTTGGCCCACCCTTTGCCCCTATAACAGCTTCAACTCTTCTGGAAAGGCTGTCCACAAGGTTTAGGAGTGTGTCTGTGGGAATGTTTGACCATTCTTCCAGAAGCGCATTTGTGAGGTACTGATGTAGGACAACAAGGCCTGGCTCGCAGTCTCCACTATAATTCATCCCAAAGGTGTTCTATTGGGTTGAGGGCAGGACTCTGTGCAGGCCAGTCAAGTTCCTCCACCCCAAACTCGCTCTTCCATGTCTTTTATGGACCTTTCTTTGTGCACTGGTGCGCAGTCCTCTTTGAACAGGAAGGTGCCATCCCCAAACTGTTCCCAAAAAGTTGGGAGCATGAAATTGTCCAAAATGTCTTGGTATGCTGATGCCTTAAGAATTCCCTTCACTGGAACTAAGTGGCCAAGCCCAACCCCTGAAAAACAAACCCAAATCATATTTCCCCCTACACCAAACTTTACACTTGGCACAATGCAGTCAGGCAAGTACCGTTCTCCTGGCAACTGCCAAACCCAGACATGGCCATCGGATTTCCAGACAGGGAAGCATGATTCGTCACTCCAGAGAACATGTCTCCACTTCTCTAGAGTGCTTTACACCACTGCATCCGACGCTTTGCATTGCACTTGGTGATGTAAGGCTTGGATGCAGCTGCTCGGTCATGGAAAACCCATTCAATGAAGCTCTCTACGCACTGTTGTTGTGCCAATCTGAAGGCCACATGAAGTTTGGAGGTCAGTAGCTATTGACTCTGCAGGCAGTTGGCGACTTCTGCAGACTGTACTCTTCAGCATACTCTGACCCCGCTCTGTCATTTTACGTATTATTTTGTTGATTGTGACACATGGGGGTGGGTTTATAAAGAGCATCTTCTCCAAGTAAACTATACTGTCAAAGCCCCTTTATTCATATAACTGTGACAACTACCTTGACATTTCTGCATAAAAATAATATACTACAGAGATTCTGAGGCTACTGGCCTGGATTTTGAAAAAAAGTAATTAAGGCTCTGATTTTTAAATCATTCGCCTGGCCATATGCTGGGCAAATAGTGTTTACATTGCATTCCTACCACTATAGAGACAAGGAGCATAGGAAATTTCTATGATCTTTGGCTCCATCAAGTGTCAAGAATGCTGTGCGAACAACATTGACCCATTGTATGGCTGGGTGGAAAAAAGTCCATTGTATGAAATAGTATCTATTTATTGCTGTGTATGTCACAGGATGGAAGCTTTGTTAGATTAGGGACCACACTATACTAAGGGACATTGATGGGGCAGTATGGCTTCTACATAGATTTGCTGCAAATATATGCTACTAACATATCTGCTTTTAATACATAGGGGTCTATTCACTAAGCTGCCGAAGGATCTAGCCGTAGATTCGGCTGATCCTTCGGCTAGCTTCAGCTCCAGGACCCCTTCGGTTCAGTAGAACCGAAGGGCTGCTGTACGGGCTATTCACTAAAGCCCGTACAGCTCCCGAAGTTGGCAGAGGGGCTCAGTTGAGCCAAAGGCATATGCCAGCCGACAGCCATAGGCCAGCCAAAAGCCTGCTACTGACTGCTGGGTGGAGCCAGCCGTTATCTCACGGCTGGCTCCGGCCACTTGCACAAACAGATCAGCGTCCCTGGTTACCAGGTAACCAGGGACGCTGATCTCCATATAGCCCAACTCTCCTGGACGCTCCAGGAGTCTCCCGCTATTAGATAGCCGCTCCCGGCTGCCCGGGAAAAAACACTTTCTCCGGGAAAGTTTTACTCTGCTCTATCGAGCAGAGTAAACCTTTCCCTGCTGTGTTGTCTTTCCTTTTTTTTTTTTTCTGACATCGGACCCGTTGGCTGCCGTCAGAATATTTGCTATTAGCCAATAGCAAACTAGCTATTGCACCCGTCCACTGCTGCTGTCAATTAGCAGAGGGGACCTGAAGTTCTCCATCTCCCATTCATTCATAATTGAGGACATAGTTTACATACCAGGTCCTCAATTATGTACAACCACTCAACGATCACTGATCGCTGAGTGCTTGTACCCATTCTCCTTTTTGACACACACTGTCACAGGAGGCTGCAAGAGGAGAGCCCAGCCTCCTGTGACAGAGCTGGCTGTCTCCGCCCCACACCGCTCTGCTGCACTGTGATAGGCGGCCGAGCGGTGTGGGAGGAAAGACACCGGCCGCTCACAGCGCTCGTCCTGCAGCGCTCGGCCGGCTGTCATTTTCTCTCTGATTCCTTTCATCCCCGCTGGGCACTGCTCTGTGTCCCAGCGGGGATGAAAGGAATCATGGCCGCGCCGGCAAAACGGCAGGAAAATTTCACTTTCGGCATTTAGCCAAAAGTGCCATTTTCGGCCGGAGCCCCCCCTTCACTTTTCGCCGGGGCCCGCGCCCCTGCTGCACCCCCGGTTGTTACGCCACTGCACAGCAGCCCTTTGGTTTGATTGTACCGAAGGGTTGCAGCAGCCGAAGCGAGCCGAAGATTTAGCCGAATGTTTGGCTACATCCTTCAGCTCTTACTCATTGTACTATAACTATGGACAAGCAGCATTGTCACCCTAGGATGCTCTCCTGATTTGGGCTACAAACACCTCCCCCTCTCCCCCATCTATATAACATAGGGAGGAGGTGAAGTTAAGTTCTCAGAGGATAGCTTGGAATGATATACCTAATAACATTGTTTGAGATTTCGGTTTAGTGCACGGAAAGCTACAAGAGGGCACAAGATTACTATCAGGATCAAGAACTATTTTCCTGTAAATGCAGAAAATGTACTTTGCCTAAAACAAAGAAAAACAAAAAAACAAACTGAAAACAAATGCAGCCACCACATCTAAGGACTGGTAAGCTGCAATATATTACATTTATGTTATTGGCTATATATATATAGTGGGGATTAGCTCCAAATAGTAGCGCATAAAGGACGCATACACTCGCTGTAATCTTCATTCAAGGGCTTCCTTGCCCACTTTTATCAAATGAAAGTTCACAAAACAGAACAATTACCCTTGCAGGGTTTTTTTGCATCTCATGGCAGCACCTGCCTATCCAGCCTCCTGGCTTTACATTTGCAGCACTGCTGCTCTGGCCTCAGGCCACGGTCTGTTCTTCCAGACAGCCTCAGTCGTGTGCTCACCTGCACACTGGGGTTTTCTCAATTCGCAGCACCCTGCTGCACTGGACTCCACTCTGACTCCTGAGTGGAGCCTTCCTGCCTCCCAGGTGGAGTCTTGAACCCTTCCCAACACCTTTAATTGTAAAGGCTGTACGGTAGCATGTACTTTACCGTGCTGTCCACTGTCTGCACTGCTGGTACCGCTGTCCCTGATAGCAAAGGAAGCAGTAGAAAGCAAGGCTTCGGTAGCGGAGGGAGCAGAGCTCCATTAGCCACTACTTCATCTATACTGCCGGTTACCGTGACAGGCGGAGTGATACCAGATGCACTCCGCCTGTGAAAGAATTAGCCACTAATTCGTCTATAGCGCAGGTTACTGTGACAGGTGGAGTGATACCAGATGCACTCCGCCTGTGAAAGAATCTGCTTTATCGATACTGACCAGTAGGAAAAGGAAGAGAGCAACAGTATTAGTCTCATTCTTACCATACTATTAAGGTCAGTAAATAAAAGACAGTGGACATTCTGACATTCTGAAGTAATTACTGTATTGGGCTGCGTTTACACTGATCCGCAGATGCAGCACTGTGCACCTGCAGGTTACCTGCACTAAGCCATAGACTTTTTGTTGCACACTAAAAAAAAAAAAAAATAAGACATCCCCTGAAAATAAGACCTAGTGTGTTTTTTGGGGGTAAAAAAATATATAAGACAGTGTCTTATGTTCGGGGAAACACGGTATCTCTCTCTCTCTCTCTCTCTCTCTCTGTATATATATATATATATATATATA